TCATCTATCTCTTATTAGATAATAATATGGAAAAGATGGAGAGTCGATTAACAGTTAACCAGGAGATGAGAAACCGGGCCTCAGGCGGCTGAAACGTTTTTAAATCCAGAAGATCGCGATCTCGTGAAATGTTCAAATGCAAATCGCAGAAAGTTTCGGAACGCTTTCTCTTATCTTCAGCATCGTTCTTTAAACAGAGCGGACGTTGAATATCTTCAACTGGGGCGGCGGAAAAGCAACGATCGAGGGGAACCTCCTTGAGGGAATCCACCGTAAGACGTATTCCGCGAAAGATCCCGAATGCGAGATGCATTCTTCGAAAGCGGCGGCGGCCATCGAAATTCGGGCAAATAAATCTCGCGCTTCTCCCTTTTTTCCTTCCTCTCCGCGATCGCTCCGCGGGATCTGGCTGCGGGCGCGCGTACGTGCGCAACGCACGCATGCACGCACGCAAGAGCGGAGCGCGCGCGTGCATACACGTGTACGTGGATGCGCGTAGAGACGCGTACGCGAGGGAGCACGTGCGTGTTGTTTCGCCCTTGCGTCTACCTCGAAGCCTCTGAGTCACTCGTTCGCTCGTCACAGCGGCTACTCGCTGCACTGGTAGCCGCGAAAAACTGCACGCTGCACTTCGGGAATGTCGTCGGCATGTACAGGGTGTTCCCCTTCGCCGTGCCCGTCGATTCGCTCGACAAGAACGGTGCGGCGAGCTCGCGGGTTCGCTCGGGTCGTCGGATCGTCTCTCTCCCGTTGCGCCTCATCCTTTTTTCCCCCCCCCCTCCTGCCGATCGCTTCGTGGAATCACCGATCTTCCTCTTGGCGACGACCACGCGGTCGCCGCGACTCGCGGAGTTTCTGCGCGAAATGTCGCGGCTCGAAGACCATTAACCCTTCAGCATCCAATCTATGGTACAAGTAATCGAGACTCGAGCGAAGACACTTTATTCCGAGCATAGGGTGTCGACACGGTTAGCACTTAGTTCTATTTTCAATTAAAAACCTAATAACTGTCCGATTTTAGCACGAGGGGCTCGAGTCTAAATTGATTATAAAGTCTATTGTTAAAATTACGGAGGTGCAGTTTGTACATCAATTCTCGCACGGAGATATTTTTTAATCTCCTTTCGTAGCGTGAGCAAGTTAGCATACGTAAACTATGATAAATGCGCCGCCATGCGGAATCACAGCGGACGGAGGAGGATTGAATTTTCTTCTGCCTTATTTTATTCGAGTTAAACGTACGAGAGCACGGCCGGGAGAAAGGATTCGGGTGGAGGGCAGAGCACGAAGGAAACGGAGAGAAGACCTCGACGACGCGGGAGGAGGAGATTCTCTTACAATAGCCGTAAGCTTTGCCGCTCATTAGAGGCGAGGTCGTGGGTCACGTGGAACCGCCGCTTTGTACCTTGTTCCTTCCTGTATATATAAGCTACGTTACAAACAATATCCACGCACGGAGATCCCTTTTCCCTGAATCGAACCCAGGAATCGCCTCGCCGCGGATTACAACGAGTACGAGCTCTGATCTCAGAAATCAGTGGCGTTTATCCTCGCCGGTTTTCCGGCCATCGAAATCGACGCGCACGTCGTATCTTCAAACCACTCTCAATAATGACGAAAACTCGAAGATATCTTTGCGCCCACTTTTACGGAAAATAAATCGACGTGTACAAAATGTAGGCAGATGCGTCAGCTGCAACGACGTATAGAACCGGAAGGAAAGGAATGGATCTCGTGGAACGTCGAACGTTCGACTCGGCGGAACGCAAGTACAATCAGCCACCGAGGTTTATCGTCGTCGCGCGAGTAACGAACCGGCCCCCGGTTGGTCGCGCAAATATTACTGTAAAGACAATAATGACGCGTGAAACACAAATTAATCGCGGAATGCGTCCCCCGGACATACCACGCGACGCACGCGCGCTTTCAGTTACTCAACATCCCGCCGCAAGTCGTAAAGTTTTAATTGGAGTCGAAGGGGCGCGACGCGGCCGCGGGAGAAAAGTCCCGAAGAGGGGTGGTATCAACGTCCGGAGTCCCGAAGAATCGCCCTAACGAGTACTCGGCGCGCGTACTCAAGCGACTAATCAACGACACGTTGGCGAAGGCGGCGGTTCCGCCGTTCTCGCCGACGGGATGCTTCTGCCGAGAGGAAGACCGCCGAGAGAGAGAGAGAGAGAGCCGGAGCGCCGCGTTGCGCCGGGCGTCTACTACCACGGGGGTGTCTCTTTGTTCTCGTCCCACACGGGCTCGCATTGAACCCGTACGATTATAAATTGCCCTGAGAAAGCGCGGTTGGCCTGTGCGAGCGCATCGTGGCCGGTGTGCACTCTCGGAGGCACGCGAGAGACAACGGCCGCATGCATGCATGCATGCATGGGTCCGCGAGCGAGCGAGCGAGCGCGAAACGCGTACGAAAGCGGGGAGACTTATTTACCGGAGGTACAGGGCCCACTTAACCCGTAACCCCCAGCTTCGTATATCTTGTCGACAATGCGTACCGATGAATTCAATACTTCCCGGCCCTCCTCTCTTCCCCCCTTCCTC